TCAACTGTTGAGCTACATGCACGCGAGCGGCGCATTACCTCGGATCAGAGCTGCGTGGCACAGCATCCTGCCAATGTGATATATAACCGCGTCCCCAAGGCAGCTGGCACATCGACCAAGGGGCTGGCCAGCGTTCGGGCGGCTACAAATGGGTTTGTGCACATTGGCAGCACGGTTTACAACGACAGCGCCTTTTTCAGCTTTGACAAGGAGGCTGCCAACGTGGCGCGGCTGCAGGCTCTTTTTGCGGCGCACGAGGTGCCGGTGCTGTACGATCAGCATACGCGCTATCTGGACTTTGAGCGACATGGCGTGCAGCCGGCGCCGGCATACATCAACATGGTGCGTGAGCCCGTGGCTCGGCTAGTTTCGCTTTACTACTACAAGCTGCGGGGCTCATATCCAAAGCGAGAACAGTACCGGGCAGCGGTCAATGCTCGTGGACCGACGGGCACGGTCGCGGCAGATTGGAGCGTGGACGAGTGCTTGTCTCACCCGCAGCATTGCGATTTGTTGGGAAAGAGCGTGGAGCATAACAATCTGATGACGGGCTTCTTTTGCGGACACGCACCCGAGTGCCAGGACTTTGGCGAGGCCACGTTGCGCAAGGCGCAGTCCAACCTGGACAAGTATGTGGCTGTGGGGCTGGCGGAGGAGTTTGACACTTCCATGGCGCTCTTTGCCCGGCTGTTGCCCGACTTTTATGGGGGACCCGAGGCGGCCGAGGGTCCAGACAAGGTCCCTGCAGATCGTTTAAGCGAGGCCACAAGCTTGAATCGCAACACACACGCCGGACCACCGCCTTCGGCTGCGGGATACCGACAGCTGGCTGCGTTGGCCCTCTACGACATTGAGCTCTACCGCTACGCCGTGGCGCGCTTCTACCAGCATGCATCGGCTTGTCACCTTGCCCTCAACATCAGCCATCTGTTGACGCTATAGGCTATGAAACCCGAAGTTCAGTTGTGTGCTTTTTTTTTCCCTTCCTCTCCCTGCTTTGGTTGAATCCGCGCGGCAGAGTCGTATCTTCGCGGTGGCTGGTACCTGTGCAACTGCGTTGCCCTCCTTTTCCTGTTTTGTCCTTTGAGTCGATGAATGCAACGTATCTATGATCTTAGTGTCGAGCTCAGAACAAAGGGGTGAAGCCAAAGCGGCAGACCCACAGGGCAAGCAGGGCCGAAGAAGCAGAGTCAAAGCCTCACGCACAGACAGAGGGACACGCAGGGGGCAACAACGCAGAGCAGAAACAAGAAGTCAGAGAAGAGCGAAGACAAGAGGAGCAAAGCAGCAGAAACATACAACAGGAGCAGCCAATAGCAATAGCAATAGCAATAGCAGTAGTAGCAGTAGTAGCAGGTGGTAGTAGCATAGTAGTAGCATCTGTAGCAGTAGTAGTAGTGTCTGTAGCAGTATCTGGAGCAGTATCTGGAGCAGTATCTGGAGCAGTATCCGTAGCAGTATCTGTAGCAGTATATGTAGCAGACATGGCAGCAACCGTAGCCGCAGCGCAGCAGTATTCGGAACAGTATCCAGAGCAGTAGCAGTATTTATAGCAGTAGCCGTATCCGTAGCAGCAGTAGTAGTATCTGTAGCAGTAGCCGTATCCGTAGCAGTATCCGTAGCAGTATCCGTAGCAGTATGTCTAGCAGACATGGCAGTATCCTTAGCAGTACCCGTAGCAGTGGCAGCATCGGTAGCAGAAGCTGTATCCCTAGCCGTATCTGTAGCAGTAGCCGTAGCCGTAGCCGTCGCAGTGTGGCAGTGGCAATAGCAGTGGCAGCATCTGTAGCCGTCGCCGTAGCAGCCGCAGCTCGTAACAAGTACCCCGACAACTTTTGGGACGCTTGATCATGTGAAGCAAAATAAACCTGAAATAGTTGTCGTGGGGGGGGGGGAGATCTGGAGAAGAAGAAAAAAAGTTGTCAAGGTGATGATGGTGTGTAGGAATGGCAGCGGCAGCGGGGAGCGGCCCCTTCTCCGTCGGTGCAGATGGTGAGCGACGGGAGGCCGATGGTGTCCAAGATAGAGTCAGCATGGGAGCTTTCAAGGTCCTTTGGCTCGGACGCGATCACACTGCGCTGCCATTTTTCTTCCAGCAGCTGAGCGTTTGGTAGAAGAAGCGCCATCGTTGCAGTAGAAGAATTCTTTTAAGAAATCGAAGAAAGGTTTACGTAGAAATAAATGGAGAAAATGCAGAAATAATGCAGATGACGGTCTGAGTTATAGTAGAAGATTAGCAGATTTTTGTAGTAGAAGAAGCGGTCGTCAACGTTGACACACGATCGGGCGTCAAGGCTCCAAATGGCAGCGCCATCCCATCCCGCTGCCGAATCGCCAGTCCAAGACCTCGAGGGCTTGCCGTGCCCGTGAGTCCAGCTCTTATCCCTGCTGTTCCCAGCGCCGATGAACGCTCGTCCATCACGTCGTCGACGTGCATCTCTCTCTCATGCATCTCTCTCCCGCATGCGTCACGCTCTCTCTCTGTGTCTCGTGTCTCACCCTCTCTCTCTCTCTCTCTTTTTACTCGCTTATAACATTTTGTCATACTGCTCACTGTCTCTCTCTCTCTGTCTCTCTTCTCTGTCTCTCTCTCTCTTCTCTCTCTCTCTCTCTGTGTCTCTTTGTCTCTCTCTCTCTCTGTCTCTCTCTCTCTCTGTCTCTCTTCTCTGTCTCTGTCTCTCTTCTCTGTCTGTCTCTGTCTGTCTCTGTCTCTGTCTCTGTCTCTGTCTCTGTCTCTGTCTCTCTCTCTCTCTCTCTGTCTCGCTGTCTCTCTGTCTGTGTCTCTCTTCTCCCTCTGTCTCTTTGTCTCTCTCTCGCGTGCGATCACGCAGCTTGCTCGACACGATAACTGTGTGTGTGCATTCTCTCTCTCTCTCTCTCGCTCTCGCTCTCTCTCTCTCGCTCTCTCGCGTGGCGTTGGAGCTCTCTGGCTGGATTTGGTATCCGGGGCGGTCAAGCGCTTGGTTCGGTGGCGTGTTGGAGACGCCAGGGTTTGGGGTTGTTGTTGACAGCGTAGCGTGTGCCCTTTGGTTGGCGCTCGACGCGATTGAAAGCTTCGTATAATTTGTGATTCGGATCGGCATCAGCGGCATCACCGTCATCATGGCGCGGCGCTTGGCTTTGCAAACGCTCGCGACCTCACGACGTTGCCTGCATCATGGCCGTCAAGTCCAGCCTTTGGTACGTCCGCGTTCTTGACCCCTCGGGCTCGTTCTCGTCTGCGACTCGAATGCATTCGCCCGTGTACCATGTCCGTGCGGGTTGCTACGCGTCCCATTTGGCGGCTTGCCTGACCGCTTCTGGGGTTCGGCCTTTTTTTCTAGTTTAAGGACTTGCCCGACTATGTCAAGATTGTTGAAGTGGGCCCCCGCGATGGCCTGCAAAACGAGCGTGGCGTGAGTTGGCCTTGCGCCTTCTTCTCTATCCGTGTCAAACTTGCTTGATATTTTTTTCCCTTGCGTGCCCTCATGGTCGCTGGTTGACGCTGCCCTTGACAGCTCGTGCCCACCGAAGTCAAGGTGGAGCTCATCCAGCGCCTTGCGGCTGCTGGGCTTCCCGTCGTCGAAGCCACCAGCTTTGTGTCACCCAAGTGGGTGCCTCAGGTGCGTCTCGACTTCTCCCATGCCACATGCCATGCCTGGAGCTGTCCCAAACTGCCATCTGAAATTCACGCCGACGCTCGACACTCGTCCGACACGTCTCTAGATGGGCGACCACAAGGCCGTGATGCAGCAAATCGATCGCCAGCCGGGCGTGTCATATCCCGTGCTCACCCCCAATATCAAGGGGTACCAAGCTGCCGTTGAAGTTGGCGCGCAAGAAGTGGCCATCTTCGGCGCAGCCTCTGAAGCTTTCAGTCGGTTCGTGGCCAAGTTTGTGTGTACAGACACGTGCATCCCATTTCTTTGTACCCCCGCCTTTGTCTGCCACCCTCTTCCTCATCCGTGTTTTTCTTCCCAAACATTCTTCTCCGTGGATAGTCGCAACATCAATTGCTCCATTGACGAGAGCATTGAGCGCTTTCGCGACGTCGTGGACGCCGCCAAGCAGGACAATGTCCTCGTGCGCGGGTACGTTGGTGCATCTCTTTCCTCCTCTTTTTTTCTTTTTCTCCCTTTTCTCCGGGCTACTAGCGGCTGTGCAACCTCACATGGTCGATTGCTTACTCTCGCCAGCTACGTGTCGTGCGTGATTGCATGCCCCTATGACGGGCCCACAGACCCCGCCGTGGTGGCTCGTGTGGCCCGCAAACTTTACGACATGGGCTGCTACGAAATCTCGCTCGGTGACACGATTGGTGTTGGTACCCCTCATGCCATGGCTGAAATGCTTGACGCTGTCTCTGCCGTACGTACCTTGTCGTCAATAAGCCTGACGGTCAACCGTGAGCCCCTGATCACAAGATTCAGATGCCACCGTCATCCTGTTCAATTCGTTGCTCATGCCCTCATGCCATTGTCATGTCTTGGTTTGCCCTTTTTACATGTACAGGAGGTGCCCCCTGAGGCACTGGCCGTGCACTGCCACGACACTTTTGGTCAGGGACTCAGCAACATTTTGATTTCATTGCAAAAGGGCATCGGTACCATTGATACCAGCGTAGGTGCCTATCCGTGTGCAAATGCCGCCCGTAAGAGATGGGGAGAGGGTTCGAGAGTGGACGGGGGCAGGAAAGAGAGCGTGTTTACGTTTGTGTTTGCTGTGCTGCTTGGAGTGCCCTTGCTCACCTTTTCACCTCGTCTTTGGGAATTGCAGGTTGCTGGTCTTGGTGGCTGCCCGTATGCTGTCGGAGCCACCGGCAATGTGGCCACGGAAGACGTGGTGTACATGCTCAACGGGCTTGGTGTCAAGACAGGCGTAGATCTTGATGTGAGAACACCATCTCGCTCCCCTTCTTTTTCCTCCCTCCTTCCTTAGTTGTACCTCCAGCATTGCTTTCCGGTTTTTTAACGGTTGCATCTGTGGCAATGGCTTGTAGTTGTTGGTCGACGCAAGCATCTTTATCAGCAATGCATTGGGTCGCCCAACGGCCTCGCGTGCAGGTGCCGCTATGCAAGCCAAGCGTGCTGCCGCTGAGCGCCAGCGCCAGCGTGAGGAAGTGCGTTTTTTTTTCTCGTCCAGGGCAACGTTCTCTTTCCTTGCTTTTTGCATTGAGATGGGCTTTCTTGTTTTTTTGTTTCTTAAACTCACATTTATTGCTGTCCCGTCTCCACTTTGACAGCTGGAGCAGCAGAAGAAGGAAGCTGCATGAGCAACCAGTGGCTCTCAAAGCCAAGCGTGCTAACATGGGCTGCTTGTAGTCGTTTCGAAAACCATTCGCGCCTTCTTGAGGTCATTTTGTGATTTTTTTCATGTCAAAGTCCTGCCAGTGATTTGTTTTGTTTGTGCGGGCCTGACAGCAGGTTGGGGCCGGTCCCCCTTTTCTCGTTTTTGTTTTTTTGTTGAGATTGGCGTCGTCGTCGTCGTTTACCAGTGCGCGCGTATGTATCCATCTTGCGTTTGCGTTTTTTTTTCTTTTTTCCGTACGCGCTTCTTCAAGCAATGTCGCGAGGACAGCATCGATGCTCTGCCCCTTTTCTACCACAGCTGCTACAGTTTCTTCTCTCTTTCGTGGAACCAAGCTGGAGTGGTTCTTTCGATGGGTTGGTGGCGAGGGTTATGGCTGCACTCGGGTGCGTTGAAAGCTGAGGCAGTACGTCACGTTGAGTCTATCAATGGTCAAATTTGAGGCAAATAATTCGTTCTCGGTGCTGTGTGATTTATCAGAGTTGATATCAATTTCGCCCGCAGGGCGCTAAATGGGGGGTCAAGAAGAAAGGAAGAAGAAGAAGAAGAAGAAACGGGCAGGGTAGGGGGTGGGGCTGATTACATGACATGGCACAGGGTTGAACGAGGTTTGCCTTGAGTGGCCGCAGAGGGTTTAGGAACAGTGGAGGGGTCGCTGGGAGCCTTGGGATGATTGACAATACCGGCGGTCATGCGCTTGGTGCGAAAGGCTTCCATTTCGGCAGGGGAGATGCTGATGCGTGTTATCTTGGCCACGAGTTGACGAAAGGAGAGATCAACGTTGCTGCCGTCTTTAGCACATACGCTAAAGCTAAGCATTTGGTGACGTGCGGCAAAGTCGTCATGGCGCTCGGCGGGGACGGCACGCATGTGAGCCAGGTCCACTGAGGCGGGTCCGACAGAGAAGTGAGGTGAGCAAAGAGCATGCTGTGCCAGGCGACTGATCTTTTTTCCGCCCATGTTCGGTGATGGGACAGATACAGCACATACTTTTGTTGGCCATGAGCCCGACATGTGGCATGCCCGAGTCCGAGCAAGTGTCCACCACGAGTTGGTACCAATCGGCGAGATCCTCAAACGAGTCACGGTTGGTGATGTCATATACTAGTATGACGCCCTATGCAAAGGGGCCAAAGCAAAGAGTCGTCATGCACCGGTGCGGTGGTTCATGTGCCCGGATCGATAAGCTGGCTGACTAGGGTGGGGACGGCAGCATACCTTGGCGTTCTCGAGGTAGTTGCGAATCATTTTACCACCAATGGCTTGGCCCCCAATGTCCCAGATCTGCAGGGTGACATACTTGTCGCCGGGCAGATTGAGTCGTTTCATGAAAAAGTCGAGGCCGATGGTCTGATTGTAGGCGTTGCCAAAGCCATCTTGGCAGTAGCGACGAATGACAGATGTCTATATCGATGAGAAGATCGACAGGGTCATTGGGTGTGAGTACGGGCTGCTGAGGCAGCAGCGAGCGCAGCTGATCTCGGGACGTAGGTCATGTTGTGTGGCGAGCTGCGAACGGCGGACGGCAAGCGGCAAGCGGCAATCGGCAAGCGGCGAGCGGCGACGAGCGGCGGGAACCCACCTTGCCCGAAGTCCCGTTCCCCAGGACCACAATCTGTGAGCGCAGGCGTATGAAGGATGAAGGTCGAGGGCAGCTGGTGAGGCGACTGGAGTGCAACGCAGCTCGGAGGGGGTGACGACAAAGGTGCATGCGTGCGCGAACCTTGTAAGTTTCAGCAGCGTCTTCCTGACTGGCCATGGCCAATGGTGTTCATTCAACCCCACACGATGCCCCGGGCACACCAACTGCAAAGCACGTCAACCACGTCAAGAAGCGAGCACGGCAGCGAGCACGGCAGCACACACACACACACTCATACACACCAAAGCCGCAGCGACACGGCACGACAAGATATTGTTTTGTTTGTTGTTGTTGTGTGTGTGGTTGTCAACGCCTCACAAAGGAAGAAAGGCTTGTCAGCAAAAAGTGTCAGAAAAAAGCTGGTGGCAAGCGTTTTCCTCAGTCACGCTTGTACCACTGCTTCACCCTGGTTGCCTTTTCAACCATCTCATCCCAGTGTGCGCTTCTTGACACATCATTCATAGACAGCATCAAGCGTAGGGAGTTGATCTCAGTTCAGTTCATTTTATTTTTTAAAAGTCTGTTGAATTTTGCACAGCTCGGCCAATTGCCCTCGAGCTTGCCGTGTCGTAAGTAATACAACCCAAAAAAAGGAAAAAAAAAGCAGGGAAAAGTTGAGTACAGTGTGTCATGCAACTCTCGTCGTCACGGAAGACAAGGAAGACGACACTCCATGTGGTGAAGAAGACGACGAAAACAAAAAGAAAAAAAGTTGGCACCAAGCCCAACGCGCGAGAAGATGGCTCTGCCATAAACCCGTCGCGCTCGGCGCAGGGAAGGGCATTTACTCCACGATAACCTCCTCGACCTTGACAGGCACCTCGACAGTCTCCACAATTTCAACAATGTCTTCCTGATCCTCGGGACGAAGCTTCTTGAGACGAGCACGCAGCTCGGACAGGCGCTTCTCGACAGACATTTGCCAGTCGCTCCAGTCCTCGAGCATGGCACGACGAGCCTGCAGGGTTTCCTCGTCCGCCTGATCCATCATCATCTTGTCCGCGGCCTCAAAGTTGGTCTGGTACTTCTTCCAGTTGCGACGAATCTCCTTGAGGTCATCATCGTTGATGAGCTCCTTGGGACGCGGACGCCACAGAAGCTGGAAAAAGTGTTTCCTGTTCATCTTGTGCAGTTGGTTGCCCTGGAAAGACCACATGATGTAGCCCGTGTCCACTTGCGTCTTGGACGCACTGGCAATACTGGCCACGTAGCGGCCAGTGGGATCCCATTCAATGTCTGTCACCATGGCATGCTCAACGATGCGGATCGTCTCCATTGTGTTGGCGTCCACAAACACGAGCTGGCCTGCAATCGACAGGGCGCCAGAATGAGGGCACGAGTCGACGAGAAACACAAAAATGTCACATTATAAAAAACACAAAAGAGGCGGTGCGGTGCGTCACGGAAGAGCAGTTGTTGTCCAGCAATAAAGGTGGTAGATATCGGCACAGGGGGTCTGAGCGAACAAGACGAGGGCCGATGCTGGAGAGATCAGGCGATCGATCAAGCTACAACCCAAGATCTTCCACGAATAAATCAACAAGGCTATTCAGCTGTCCCTATTCTAAACGTCATCATATCTCCTCCACCAGCCCCGTCCATCCTTATCAGCCCCCTTTTATAATACGTGCCGATACCCACCACCATGCGAAGGCTGGACATAATCAAGTGTCTCGAATGACGCATCGTGTCCACACAAGATCAAACAACAAACAATACACGACCAAAAACAAGCGAAAACGAGCACGATCAACAAACGACACGCAACTCACTGTTCATCTTGAAGCGATCGGCCAGGATCATGTGCTGAGAGGTGGGGCTCCAGAACACGCTCTCGCAGGTGATGTCGAGGTGTTCGGGGTGCTTGACAATCTTGCGCGACTCGAGCGAGTAGGTCTCAACACGAGTCATGGGATGTTGTCCGCTAATGACGGCAAAGCGGTTGCCCTCTGGTGCCCAGAAAAATCCAACGACGGGGCGGTGCAGCTCAAGCTGATCGCAGGGGATGTCCTTGCCGTTCATGTGGAAAATCTGGAAATCAGAATACAGCTGAGTCTTCTTTTTGTTGTGGCGTACGACGTGCACGCAAACATGCTCGCCAGACTTTTGCCAGACGAGGTGGCAAGCAACGACGGAGAACATGTTGCGAGTGGTGAGATCCTCCTTGCGGGGAATATCCAGGATACCCATGCGGGCGGGGCGCTGGGCAATCTCGGGCTGCCAGTAAGCAATAACGTTGTCGCGCGGCGACCAGGCAAACTCTTGCAGACCCGTGATTTGAATGCCACGGTTATCCAGCTTCTTGAACGACTCGGTGTCGTACACGGCAAGCGTGTCCGCGTCAGTCATACGGGCAAAGTACTTGTCGTCATGGCTCCACTTGAAGACGGGCCACATCTCCTCGACCTCACCGTGGGCGCTGCGGTACTTGCGTGGGGGCATGAAACCGCGCATTTGCTCACCCGTCTTGAGGTTCCAGATGATGATGCTGCGAGGGTCCTTCTCGTTGATGGGCGTAGCCGGGGCAAAGGTGACCATGTAGTTTTCGCAAGGAGAAAAATCAATAAACTTGACACCCATGTGCGCAAACTTGTTGATGCTGTCACAGCGCAACGCACGTATCGGACATATGAGTTTTTGAATGCAAGCAGACGGCCAGAAAAAGGGAATGAAGCCTAAAACACACACAAACACACGCAAGGCAAGCCACACTCTAGAACATACCGCTCAAACTTCTCAGTACCCCAGAGGGAGATACCAGGTTGGTGAAAAGTGGCCAGGTATGAGCCGAGCGGCGACCATTGCACACCAAGCTCGGACCAGCCTTCACGCTCGCAGGCAATGTTCACGCGGTTACGCATGTTCCAGCCGATCGAGGTCATGTTCTGGTAACGCAGCGCGACCTGGTCGTAGCAGTCGCTGTTGAGCAACCAGCTCTGAAGCTCGTTCTGCGTGGGTCGAGCACAGAACAATCACCAAGTGAGTCGGACGAACATGGCTTGGACAACGTTGAAAAATGACAACCACCAAAAGTATATATTGCGACACCACTCACAAGCTTTGAGTCGAGGGCTTCCTCGGGCGGGGCTTGAAACTCGTCTTCGGTCTTGAGGATGCGGTCCATATCCTCGAGAAGGCAGGCTTGGAAGGTGTGCTTCTTGTCCAGCTTGTAGCCGTCGAGGGCCACGAGGGCGGTGTTGGCGGCCTCGACAGTCTCGAACTCAAGAAAGGCAACGCCACGACCCTTGCCATCCTCATCAACGAGGAAGCGGTGCTCGACGATATGATAATCCTTCAGCACCTTGCTGATGATGACCTTTTCGAGCTTGGCCATCTTGGAGGCTTCGGGGTCGGGCAGACCGTACAGCACCAGGACATTGCGGAAAGAGTTGTCCAAGACCGGCGCATCGGCCTCGGTAAGCAAGGGGCCGGACATCTTTGCGTTGATTCGCCCTGATAGTCATGCAAAAGCCGTGTCAGCTTCAAGTCATGTGCTGACCAAGACTCGAGGGAACGAAAATGCATTCAAGGATCCCCTTTTAGACCAACACTTGTCCCAACAGCGCTGCCATTTTGCAACCGCCGGTACGGGTTCACACACACACACACACACACACACACACACACACACACACACTCACGCGCCAACCTCCAGAGCCACTGTCAATGCTGCTTACCTTTCAAACCACAAAACTAGAAAGTGAACTCTGTGTGTGTGTGTGTGTGTTGTGTGAGCACGTTGTGTCGACCAATTTCAGTTGGTAGCAGACATGGGTCTGACACTTGGTCACGGCAGCAGGTTGACGGTTGGTAGCAAACAAGGGGGACCAGTCAGACAAAACTCCAAAACTCAGACACATGTAAATAAAATACTTGACTATGTTCATGTTAAAAATGGTTCAGTCTTGTTCAGTTTGGGCGAAATACTTTTTTGACGACTTCTTGACCGTTTTTTTCTCGTTTCGGCGCGTTTTTTCATTTTTTTTTTTTGAGGATTCGGAACAGCAGCAGGCAATCACGGTGCGCGGGCCGCGCTGATCGCCAAGCAGTGTCCATGTGGCTGATGAAACAAGAGGTGCAAGGTCTGGGTCTGGCGTCAGTTGCGGCTGCGTTGGAGATCCGTGTGCTTGTCGCAAACGTGTGTTCCTGAACCGGTGTTCACCTGAACCGGCGTTCACCACGACAGTCCATGGCGGCCTACTCGCTGCACAAGCGCCGGTTGGCTACGCTCAACCGCGATGCAAATGCTGCCTGGGGTGCTGCGCTGCAACGCTCTTCAAATCCGTCTGCTCCGCAGGATGCTTTCTTGGATTCAGCCAATGACGGTGAGTGTCTGGGTGCACAGCGACATGCTTGGTGCGCCTTCCCGTCCTCAAGCCTGTTGCTGCTTGGGCCAACGCAGGGCTGCCCGTGGCCAAGCGCCCTCTAGCTGCCAACTTTATCGAGCCCCCGGTGTCGATCGATGCCATTAGACACGACCAGGCAACGGTCAAAGCTAGTGCAACACCAAACAGTGCACAGGCAGATGCGGCCGCTGCGACTCCCACCAGCACGCAACCTTCCATCCCCAATAGCAAAGCAGGAGGGCCGCGCAACGCCTTTGACATCCTTTTGCGCCGGCAGCCCCCGCCAGCGTCTGTGGTGACCCCACTTCGAGGATCTTCGGCGTCACGCCGCGACAAAGCCCGTGAGCGCCATCGTGCCCCGAGCACCCCAGCACGTACCACGGAGCTCGTTTTGGACCTTGGGCAGCGTGCTTTGAACAAGACCGAGTGCTCGCTCTGTCGTATGCTTTATTTTCCTGGCCAGGCAGCCGATGAAAAGCTTCATCGGTCGCGTCACGATGCATTTGTCAATGGTGTCAAGTGGCGCGTTGCCGTCGACGACGAGCGAGTTTTGTGGGGTGCCGAGGGTGGCCCCGGCGGTGCCCTCATTCTTGGACTGACTGCTGATCAACTCACACATTCCTCCAAGGTGCGCTCGATTTAGGCGGGTGCTCAATGTGTACAAGACGGGAGTGGGGGCTTTTGCTTT